AGTGGGTGGGGGTGGTGGGGTTTGGAGAGGAGCCGCCGCTAGATGCAGCTTCCTTGCGGTATGTCCATTTCATCCTGCAGCCCACAGGTGCTTTGGAGCTAGGTGTGTGTGTGTGTTTTGCACCCCCTTGGCTCGAAGTGGTTTCCATCAGATGTTTGCGTTCAGTAGCTCTCTGCATACTCCCTCTCCCCCATACGAATTGTTCCCATTCATTCCCTGGGAGTGCCCCAATAATAGGACTCCCACTGTGAGGCTCTGCATGGATGGTGCAGGGGTGCTCCTTTGCAGAGTTGCCAAGCCGTGTAGAGGCAGCGTACTTATGGGAGGCGAATGTGGGATGGGACATAGGAGTGCATTTGATTTTCCTTAGGCTTTGGATCAGTTTCCAGCTTTCCTTCTATATCCCAGACTGCTTGGATCCTTTCTTAGCCGGGGCTGTAGGGGTGATGGGCTGGTGATGGAGGGAAGGGCACGTCCTTTGAAAAAAGTGTGATTTAGCTGGGATGGGTATTTGACTCAAACACCATTTGTTGTGGGTAGGAAGATATTACCCTTGGCATTGGGACTGTTGATCAGGTTGTGACCAGAGGGAGGCAAGAGCTGAATTCATGACACCCCTTGAAGGTTAATCCTCTGGGTGTGATGGTTTGGGGATACAACCTGAAACAGCCACTGTGGTGAGTGGGGAGAGGCGAGGTGCTTTAGGCGTGACTCAAATGTGTGTTTGGAGGGGGAGGTAGGAGGAATTACTCATATTCCTGAATTACAGGCTTGCGTACCTGTGCGTAGTGGCAGGGCTAGTAATGATGATAAATGATCCGTTGCCTGAATCACAGGCTGTCAGAGGGAGGATGGAAAGGGAGCACTAAGCAATAGGAGTCCACTAAGCAGCAGTGTCTGTTGCTTAGCACGTTGGCACTGCGGATGGTTTTTAGATTGTAACACGAGGCGCTATCTTCGGTAGTAAAGATTCCTTGGTCACAAAGGACACTAGACTGGGAAGACTTGTCAAGGTAGCAGGTTGAAACTCTGTTGCTTCACATGGAGTGTTTCCCCTCTGGAGAGAGGAGCCCCACTAGTTTTGCATTTGGTGTTGTACCCTCTGTTCAGGGTACGCCTCGCAAGGAGAGTGGCTTTTCATAGCACTGTCGTTTCAAGATCCATTCGACAAAGCTTGCAGTCACCTTTCATATTCAATAGTGATAGAAATGTAGCCGCATTAGTCTGGGGTAGCTGAAGCAAAATGCAGGACAATGTAGCACTTTAAAGACTAACAAGAGGGTCTGGCCCACGAAAGCTCATCATCTAATAAACCATCTTGTTAGTCTTTAAAGTGCTACATTGTCCTGCATTTTTCTTTCATATTCAGTGATGGGAAAATAACGTCTCATGTTACTGCTCCTCTACCTCCCTGGGGCTAATAAATGGCATCTGGGGAAGAGGGTAGGTGCTCATTTTGCGTTTGAGCCCCCAGCCAGCATGGAGTAGAAGTTGGGAAGGAGTTTTGTACCACAACAAAGAAGTTACTTCACTGTAGTTCAGTAGCAAGGAGAGGGCTGGAACCTCTGATCTGCCTTCTCCCATAGACATACAAGGCCGCTGGTGCACATCGCGCTCTTCTGGTTCTGTCCAACAGGGGGCAGCAGTGTGCATGCACCAGCTTGCTTAAGCACTGTGCCCCTTACCCACTTCTCTGGTGGCTCTCCTGCCTTTGCAAGGAGCAGGGACATCTTGGCTTGTGAAGTCAGGGGTTGCCAACCCAGGAGCTGGCTGGGGTGATACTGTGCTCAGCTGCCAGGCATGTCTGGAGCCTCCAGCGGGCCACCTGGGGCCATGTGCACATCTGCTGCCTGGTGTTGCAACAGTTGCTCTCGGTGGCTGAACAATGGTATTTGTCCTCTGGGCTGTGCACATCTGTTCCATCCCCCTCCCAGTAAAATCTTGCTTGGGATGCTCATGCATTAATGTCACAAGACAGGGGGAACAGGGCAGACCCCATCACCACTCATAAACAATGAGGTCTGTGCCTTCTCCTGCTCCTCCCACCCCGTTAGACTCTGCCCAGCACTGTGTGTACCAGGAGTTGTGGGGGAGGGTTTAGCCCTGCAGAATAGTGCTGGAAATAGTGAAGTCATTGAAGGCCGGTGGGAGGGAAGGGGTGCTGAATAAATGAGCCATTGTGCTGACCGGGGAAAGGTTCAATAAAAATATTTATATCCCTTGTTTCTCTCCTGTTTTAAAGGTGAAAGAGCGCAGCAGCCCCTGGAGTGTGGGTGTGTGCCAAGCAGTCCCTCCAGGCCAGCATCTCTTCTAGCACTAGATATGCTCTCCAAGTAACCCTATCTGGGAACTTCCCGTTCCTGTAGTCAAGAGCCCTCCTTGCCACGTGTTGTAAGGTAAGAGATTCCCTTACACAGGCAGACGGAGGGCACTTTCTGCTGCAGTTGGTGCTCACTGTGGACCTCGCTGTATTGCGGAGAGCACAGAAAAGAGACTGTACAGCATGAAAAGGCTGGTGCCAGACAACAACCAAAACGCCTCTGAGCCGTGGATCACCCTGTGAAAGCCGGGTGTGAGGGAAGAAGAAAGCAAATCGGTAGCTCTGAAGAAGAGAGTTCATCCGAGGGGGTGTTTTATTTTTAAACTCTGATTCTCCCTGTTCCTTGCCTGGAGAAGTAATTAAATTGGAATGGCCCAGGGAGCCAAAATCAAGGGAGCTTTGTTTACTCTTTTTAAAAGATAGAACTTAAATTTCCCCCCAAGAACTTTTTTTTCTTTTATAAAATCCTGCTTTATTACACCCAGGTTTGAAAGACTCTTGGACTTTATGTTTTCCTTTGCTTCCCCATAAAAGTAACTGAGCACAAGTCCAGTTTGCTGGAGCAAGGGCTAAGTGGGAGAAACACCAGCTGTCGGAAGATGACGCACTAAGGCGGCAAGAACGAAAGAAGAGAATCTGGGAGACGGTGTGAGTGCTTCTAGGGCTCCTTCATCTGGAAGCAGGAGAACTAGAGCCAGCGTGTTGGATCTGGAATTGCCTCCTGTTTCTCTGCCGGCTTGGTGGTTGGTGTCTCCCGTGTCTGGATTGTGCTTGATGGGGATCTCTGCTGCGGGATCTGCCTCTGCAGTTGAGGGCTGGAGCGCAAGAGCCAAGGAGGTGGCATCTAGATGCAGGAAGGGGCACTGGCTTAAGCCCCTTGCAGAAGGTCTTTTCTGGGACAGCTGCCAGCTGTAGTCCCACCGCTTTGAGGGTCGGGGGAGACATCTGCCCTTCAGAATGTCCTCCAAGCTGGAGCACAAGGAGGCTCACCAGACCAATGGGGTGGTGCTGCCCATCGTGGCTGTGCCGGTGGACTGCCTTGCCAGTCCTGACCTGCAGCAACTTGTGAAGCCCTCGGAGTTCTTGGAGCCCGACGGGGAAGGGGTGGAGGTGGTGGTGCTGGAATCCCGGGCCAACGCCAAAGGGGTGCGAGAAGAGGACGCCCTGTTGGAAAATGGCAGCCAGAGCAACGAGAGCGATGACACCAGCACAGATCAGGGCCCTGTGCCTGCCTCCCCTTTCAAGGAGACATCCTTCTCCATCGGGCTGCAGGTCCTCTTCCCTTTCCTGCTGGCCGGGTTTGGGACGGTTGCTGCGGGGATGGTGCTGGACATAGTACAGGTGAGCATCACACCTGCTGTTGTTTGGGGACACTGCGTGGCGTGGGCTAGAATCGAGCCAGGGGACCAATCGTGTGACTCGGAGCCCAAGGCGGGGTGACGCCAATGCTGGGATGATGGCATGTCATGGCGGGTGGGTGACTTGCATGTCATGAGGCATTGCTCTCCCGGTCCTCTGCAGAGTACTCGACCCAGCTTCGTGGGCTGGGGGCATGGTCAAAGGAATGGCGTACGAGGGCCTGCCCCTCCTCAAGGGCAAGAGTTCACTGGCGAAACACGGTGGGGGAAGCTTTCTGTGACGCACGTTTCTGTGACTCCATGGTTAGGGTATTAGCCTCGGCCCTGGCAGAATCTTCACCACCTAGGGCTAGAACAATATTTCTCCTTCCCACCCTCCCCGCAGTTCACTACAGACCAGTCTTTAAAGCAATATATGCACCTCCTTTCGAAGTAGCGACTGGCTGCTTTGGGGCAGCTGAACGACATGGACTCCTGGTCTCATCTGGTGCGGCAATTCCCCTAGCTTTCCAAACGTTTCTAGTCACAAGTTTCAAGCCCCTGCTGTCTCTGAAGCTCTAAATCGGGGGGGAGGGGGGCTGTCCCACAGAAAAATCAGTCGGGGGGCCACACACAAGAAGCAAAAAAAAAAAAAAAAAAACCCTACCCCTCACTGATATGGCCCCTAATTGAGAAACAGAAAGACCATTCCCCTCACCCCAGAGCCTAGGGGGGCCCAGGCGAGCAGATTTTGTGTGCTTCAGCGGTGCAGTCAGGAGGCTGAAGTCCCAGCACAGATTCCCTAATACTGGGAGCGGTGCGGGGAGAGGGGCGAGTCCTGAACTTCAGGGGCTGGATCCAGGCAAGCTGAGGGCTGCATCCGGCCTGCAGGGCATAGTTTCCTCATCCCTGTTCTAAGTAAAGCTAGGGATGTGAAGGACTAGTCAACTAGTCACTTCCCCCTTTGCTGCCTCTATCAGAAAGAGGCAGCCAAGTGGGGGAAGAAGAAGGGGTACTTCAAAGCAGCAGTGCCACGTGGCGCCTGGGATCAGCAGGAGACTCCCTCGCTGACTCGGGGCTCCGTGTCGCTGTGCTGCTTTGAAACGCCGCAGGGAGCCCGGCATCAGGCTGCATGTGGCATTTCAAAGCAGCAGCACTATGTGGAGCCCAGCATCAGCTGGAATCCCCAGCTGATCCCAGGCTCCACGAGGGGCTTTCACCCGATCAACTAATGGAATAGTTGATGCAAAAATGCATTGACTATTTGAGTCCATTAGTCGATAGTTAACATCCTTAAGGAACCTTCAGCTTAATTTAAAGTCCTGCTCTAATGACAGTGAGGGGGAGTCATGTGGCAGGGAGCAGAGGTGGGAACCTTACAGCAGCTCACTGGCTTGGTAGCCCTCTCCTAGCAAATCAAACTCCATCGTTCTTCAGCAACCTGGTAGCTGGACGTGTTACTATGCAGTGAGTGCTGCCAACTCCTCCAGTGCTCTCTTTAGCCTTGGTATTAAATGATAGCGCTAAAGGCCATGGGAGGAAAACCCCCGGCTGTCGGTGTTCTTGACTCGCTCTCCTGCAAGACCTGGGGTTAATGGGCAGTGCCTTTGTTCTCATGAGCAGGCTGCTCCCAGTGCAGGGAGGGTTCCTCATCCCTTGTGCATGGCCATTCAGGGACCATTGGGGAATAGGGGTGTTAAGGACTAGTTGACTATGCAATAAGCAAATGCTTATCGGATAGTCAACTTCTTGCTTCTCCCCCCACCCCCTTGCTGCCCCTATTAGATATAGGCAGCAAGGTCAGGAAGAAGAAAGGGGTACGTTAAAGCAGCAGTGCAGCACAAAGCCCGGGGTCAGCTGCTCCATGCAGTGCTGTCCCTTTGAAATGCCGTCACCAGCGTTGCGAAAGGGCAGCGCCACCCTATCAACTAATCGAATAGTTGATGCAAAAATGCATTGATTATTTGATTAGTCAGTTACACAATACTTAACATCCTTATCGGGGGGGCACGTTTCTTCCCTGCTAGGTGCATTGGTCTCGGCACAGTGAGCGCTAGTGGGGTGGGCTAGCTCTGTCTTGCCCCGTTGGGATGTTGCTGCTGCTAACACAGGAGTGTGCTGAGGTTTGCCATTTATCGGGGGAGCCCGCTCTGCGATCAGAGAGGCCCCTACCCCTTTGTGCTCCTGGAGGGCAGGGTTCGCTTCTAACCAGTGTGGAAAGCCTGCAGCATTGGTACCATAGGAAGCCATTGGCTCAGCCCTTCTGCCTACAGAGGGGTAGTCTGCTCTCCCTAGGGAACGGGGGTAGGCTGAGCAGGGAGGGTCATGTTGCTCTGGGGGTGGGTGCCTCTATTGGTTTGCTGAGCCTGTTCTGTCGGTTGTGACGTGTGCACCGTGGCTGGCTGTAGCTCAGTGAATGAATCCACCAGGCCTGTTGTTACAGAGGCTAAGGTACTACCGTAATTGACTTGATGAATGGTATGTACCTGGTGGCCCTAGATCAGTGGTTCCCAATGCGGTGCCTGCGGGCGCCATGGTGCCTGCCCGGCCATTTCTGTGTGCCCGCTGAGTGATCGGGGTGCCCCGTCCCTGGGCGCGCAGCACATAGTCGGTGCCGGCCCAGGTGCACAGCACGTGGGCAGTCCCGCCCCTGAGTGAGAGGTGCGAGGGCTGTGCTGGCCCTGGGCTTGCAGCGTATGGGCGGTGCTTACCCGGGCGCGTGGCATAGGGGCGGCGCCGGCCCCGAGCACACAGTACATGGGCAGCCCTGCCACCAGGCGCGCAGCGCATGGGTGCTGCCGGCTCCTGGGCGCGAGGCACAGGCGCTAGCTCTGGGCACGCAGGGCATGGGCAGTGGTGGCTCTGGCCCCGGGCGCACAGGCCATGGGCTGTTCCGGCCCTGGGCGCGTGGCGTATGGGCAGCCCCACTCCTGGGCGTGCAGCACAGTTGCGGTGCCAGCCCTGGGAGTGCGGTACATGGGTGGTGCCAGCTCCGGGCACGCAGCGTATGGGTGGCCACACCCCCAGGCACGTGCGTGGCCCTGCTCCCGGGCGCCCAGCAGCCCCAAAAGGTTGGGGACCACTGCCCTAGATATTAGGGATGTAACAGTATAACCATTTAAACAGTTAACCGATAAGCTTGGGCTCATCAGTTACTGTGAATAGTTACATGCAGGCTCCTGGCTCCGCTCCTGGGGAGCTGGCTGCCACTTTGCACAGAAGGTTCTGTATCAGAGGCAGCAGCACAGGGCAGAAGCTAGGTCCCTGGGAGCGGGTCTGGAAGCCAGCTTAAAAGCCAGCTGCTGGCGTGCACCAGCTCCCAGGGAGTTGGCTGCCACCCCACACTGCTACCTCTGATACAGAACCTGCCACGTGGGGTGGCAGCCAGCTTCCCAGAAGTGGGGCAGCAGGCAGGAGCCAGGGCACACTGGGAGCTGGCTTAAAAGCCGCCTCTCAGGGAGCCAACTGCCACCCCGCACTGCAGGTTTAGCAGTATTAAAATTTTATACTGCAGATCCCGTAGCGCAGCCAGCTGGCCAGTTCTTCTCCCGGGGAGCCAGCTGTGCTGCGGGTTCTGCAGTATAAGATTTATACTGCAGATCTCACAGCGGGTAACCGTGGACGTGTTCAGCAGCTACATGGTTACCTGATTAACCGCTTTTTAACTTCCCTACTAGATCTAGCGTGTCAAGTATGCTGGAGAATAGGAGAAATATATAAGAACTAACCCATAGAACCCTGCAAATCTGCAGGTATCCTCTTTATTTCTGCAGGGAGCCACATCCAGAGATACAGATATCTGCGGCTCATTTATGCAGATTCAAATTGTGTATCTCGAACCCTGCGCGTTTGCAGATATCCGCCTTATATCTGCGGAGCATTTCTGCAGATGCAGACACCGGTTTTGTGTCCATGCGGGGCTGTACTAATCCGCATTCTGTTGGAACATAGATTTTTTTGGGAGCTGATTTGTAACAATCTGCCCAGGCAATTAGGTTTCCTCTTTGCTTGTAACATAATCTAAGCACAGCTTGACTCTACCAGCTGGGATTGGGCTGGAGAAGGGGCGTGAAGGCGGGTGGGGGGAGAGAGCGCGAGCTAGGACGAACATCACATGTTTACTCTCCTTGATGATTGTCCAGCCCATAGAAGGTTATGCAAGATGTGGAAGGAGACCATAGCCTCTTGCACATGCCTGACATTTACAAGACCTGTATGTGACATGGAATTGTCTTTTCACCTGCATATGTGTGTCACCCTGAATTTCACGGTCAAATGACTCAAAGCCAAGGGGTGTTGGTGCCACATGTAACCAGGGAAAACATGGTTTCAAGTATTTATGGAGATCTGGGGACTGATTTCTGGGCTTGGTTTTGTGTAGATGAGGTGGCTCAGCCCCGTGAAGGGGGGCTCACCCTTCAGGGGTGTTGTGGGGGTCATGGCATTGGGACAGACAGCATCATATGCCAGGTGTCTCGACTCAGGTGCTCGTTGGTATAACTTGTGTTTTTCCCTTCGCTCCTTTGAAGCAATCCCTAACCATCCTGCTGCTGGAACCAGGTTCTGAATGAGGCGCCCCTGCGCCTTGTTTGGAACAGTGTTGTTCTGAAACTCCCAAATATGGGCACTCAAAACACATGGCAGAGTTTTGTTGCAGCTGTTGTCCTTGAAGTCACTAGCCCTGTGCACAGGCACCAGTCTGGTCTTACTCAGCAAGACTGGTAAAAGCTCCCTTTTGCCAGCTGGACGGCTTTGGATGGCATGTGCTAGCTCCTGAACTTTCCAAGTATAACCCGTGACCTTAAAATGTGGTTGCTGCTGGAAGTGTGTGTGACTTCCAAAATAAAATTAAAAAAAAAAATCTTGAGATGGTTCCATATTTATTCTCAATAACTACACATTCGGACTCCGGGCACTCCTACTTTCTAACTCCTAGGGTTGCCAATACGTCCTGTGGGCTGACAATGAAGCAATTTCCTCCTTGTGTTTTCTGTGACTGATCAC